GCCGGGGCCCGCCCGCCGGGCTGCGGGGCCACAGCCTGGCGGATCAGTAGCCGCGCTAAACGCGGCAGAAACCGAGGGGCGAAGTTAAGCGCATTCCAGAATTTAAGCTGTTCTAAATGAAGGTCTCAAGGGAAAGGCAGCTTTCCAGTGTTTGAAAACGCGTTAAGCACGAAATGTCACTTACTACTAATAATAGTTTCTTTCCGCTAATCTGTTTCTTCTTCATTTTATGTGGCCTCTGGTCACCTGTGTGAAAAACGAGGTTCACGTGTTTTTTATAGAATTTAGAAGTTTAATAGACAATCAGGAGATAAAAATAAAGTGTACAGGTACGGCCGGGTGTTTCTGCATTCAGCCAAGAGAGCACACCTTACTAACAAAGGATTGTCCTTTATAAACAGAACCCTACTACATACCCATAAATTCTCGTACATATTCATACATTCTTCTTAAGGGGTTTTTTTTTTTTATGTTCCTTTGTTCAGTTTTTACCTTGCCCCCGTCCCAGTAGATCAATATTTTTGGCGCCATTGGGTTTTATATCCTCCGATGAGGATGCAATAAATACTTGTCTTGGAGGTCTTGGAGGACAAGATAATCTTAAAAATTGGAGGACAAGATAATCTAAGAATGCAGGGGGGTGTCTCTGACTATCTTTTCAGTCTCTGGGTTATATAAACAAAAAGTAGTTTGTGCTTTAATATCACGTTATAGCCTAACATATATATGTATTATACCACTATTTCTAAGTTTCATCAATAACAGAAATAAAAGAAACTATATTAATACAACCAAGTTTTCTAACCTTATACATAAAACATTCAATATATATCTGCAAAATCCAATAATATAATATGCACTTATAACACCTGGCAGGGTCATTTGTTTAGGAACTCAAATTTTATACAAAATTCCAACCTCAAAAAAAGGTTTGTTGTCAAAGTCTCAGTTGGGAGAGGGGAAAAAAAAAAAAAAAAAAAAGAAAAGAAAAGAAAAGAGGCCAATGAGCAAGCAATTATGTAACTCCCAAGTACTGATTTTCTGGTTTTAGCGCCATCTATTAGAAAAAGACTGTGCTCCACAAGAGCAAATCACAAGCTGGATCCCATTCAGACCACCAAAACGACAGTCAATATTTGAAGCAAACCTCAGGCACGTGTTTGCAAGGGCTCAGGATGGGGGGAAGGAGTCCCTAAGGTAAGTCCAGTGCCCACAAGTATTTGTGGCCCTTACACTACATCTCTGGCAATTCACAGTGTTTGTGCACTTAGCAGAAAATGTGTGACAGATGAGGTAAAAAAAGTCACCAGTATTTGCATGCATTGTGCATGTTTAGAATAAAGAGCTACTTCAGTGTAAAATTACACCTGTGATGTAACATCTCTGGTTTAACCAGTGTTACAAGCAGCTTCCAGAATAACTGACAGCATAGATAGAGGAGATTAGATAGATAGGTAGGTAGGTAGGTAGGTAGGTAGGTAGGTAGATAGATAGATAGATAGATAGATAGATAGATAGATAGATAGATAGATAGATAGAGGAAAACATACTTTTCTGTGTTTGTTTTTGTTTCTGTTTTGTTTATTTTGTCATCTGGAGACCTTTGCAAAATAGAACGTTTCCCTTTAAACTTGGTTTCCTCTGTTTCTGATTGCACAGTCGAGGAGGGGAAGGTACACACACACAAAGAAACAAACAAACAAACAAAAAACCAAAAGAACAAAAAAATCACAAAAAACCCCAACCAACCAAACAAACAAACAAAATGACAATGATGGAGCAAAGCCTGGAATTTGTGTGAGGGAACCAAGAGTCTCTTCTTGAAACCAATTTTTAACTGGTTACATTTCAGCTTCCAGGAGAACTTTCAGGGCTGCTCTTGGACTTGCCTGCAGGTGATGCTCAGCTCAGATGAGTGGCCTAAAAAAATTCCTACTGCAGGTTCAATATACTTTTGCTGCGTGTGTGAAGCCTTTTGAACTCACAGCTGAATGTGATCCTTACCCATGTTATATTCTCCTGCATGTTTTATAACAGGCACTGCCTGAGAAAATGTAGAAACAACCCAGTGTCCAAATTAATTTCAGAAAATCAGAGAGGAGTGCACTACTCTGAAAGTCTTTATGTAATACACACACACACATATATATATATATATATATATATATATATATATATAAGCAGGGATTATTTGAGGACAAATTAAAAATAGCCTTGAAAGTGACTCTGGGCTTTAATCTCCCATGTGATATGTTACATCATACATGATGAGAAGGAAATACCTCCAGGCCCTAAATAAACCTATTATCATTTAATCTCGAATGGGTTATTTTGAATTCCAAAGAGAATACATATTTTGTGCGCTTGCACAGAACAGAAGATCACTCTGGATCTCCAAGTCCTACCAGAGGCTTAGAAAACCATAAAAAGGGAAAGAACAGCCAGGAGCAGGCTGCTGAAGAACAGCAGGCTAAGCTGCCAAAACAGAAATCTGTGGTGGTGGGACAGCATCAGCTGGACATGAGATGTCGGCAACAATTTGGGTTTCTGCCAGTTTCCTTTTCCCACAAAAATATACCAGAGTGGTGGTGCCTTTCTCAGAGGATGTAAGCATCCCTGCAATGTCCTGTTTGTTCCAGGGGAGTGAGGGGGACAGGGCTTAGGTCTGAGCAGGCCACGTCCCCTCGCTCCCTCTGCTGGGAGCTGCCATCCTCGGAAGTCAGATTTCCCTTCTTCCCGTCAACACTCCCATGCCATCTGCTTTCCTGTACTGCCCTGGTGCTTGTGGTGAGAGCTTGAATTTATTTTTTTTTTAACTAATTACTATACTGTAACTTAAAAGGAAGCTTTTCTCTATTTTTCTTTTTTTTCTTTTGTTTTGGTTTGCTTTTTTTAAGTAGGTAACAATGCCATCCTGAATCACACAGGAGTGACTTGTTCAGCATATACAATGCACCTCTTTGAAACACACATCAGCCTTTGACTCCACTTGTGAACAGCCCCCCCGCCCTTCCAAGGAGGACAGAGAACACAGACACACTGCCTGCTATGCTTATCTATGTAGACAGACGCATGAGGAAGGAAGAACACAGCTACAGGGGTGAAAATTTAATCCATCATCATTTAATTTAAGACAGTGGAAGTATTCTTTACATATGGATGTCACCTGACAGATTTAACCAAAGAGAAGGCTGCTGAAAAATGACTGTTGTTTCTCTCCCTCTCTCCACATAGCAAAATACACAGAAAACACACATCCTGCCTGACACTGTTAATATCCTGCCAGTGCTCTGCACTGTTTTGACAATGAGATTCCAGAAGCCCTGCCAGCCTCATGTTCACAGGGCTCTGTAGACAGTGCTGTTCTGCAAGCCTAAGATTTTACTATTTAATTGTGAAACATCTCCTTAGAAGATAGAAACATTAAAAATATCACAGTTATCACACTAAATAACAAAAAAAAATATTATTATAATTCATTAATACAGCTTTTGAAAAAGTCTAGGAATGATCAAATCCTCCTCAGAATTTCTCTCAAATAAATCACAGACCATGTCCAGGTGAGCACAGACTGCTCCTTAAACTCAGTCTCATTAAATGTGTTAGTTGCTCCCCAAGGGAAATCTTAAGTAACACAGATGAAAACCTTACCCCAGCTTTGCCTTGCAAGGGTGACTGCTTAACACATCCTGGTTGTGTGCCTGATAATGCATAAATGCACAAATCACAGAATCCCTGCTGCTGGGAGCTCACTGTCCTAACAAAACCAGACTGTGTAAATATGTTTGGTTATCAGCTTGCTTCTCTGAAGTGTGCCAAACAGGATTCTTCTTTCCTAACTTTACAATCTAACTATGAGGTATCTGGTCAAAGCTTAATTTTATAAGCAATATAAAATCTCTGCAAATACAAACACTCAGGTATTTATGAAGTGCAGTAAAAATAAGGTAGGGTAGAAAACAGTAAACTGGAGCTATTAAGAGGAAACATGACAAGTGAACAAAGGCTCCTTTTCTTATTTTTGCTTTAAAGTGCTTCTAACCCAGAGTTAATCAAGGCCAAAACCTTCATTATGCTCTATGGCAAAAAGCAATTTTGCTTTGAGTGTTTTTTTACTGCTGTATCTAGGGAGGAACAAAATGAGACAGCAAGTACTGGCAGAGGGAGAGACCTCATCTGGATTTTCTACTTGAGGATCTTCAATCCGAAATCTAAAACATTCCAGTCCATAGCCAGTGATTCGATCAGATCCTGACAAAAAAGCTGAAGGATTGAAAAAAAAAAAGAAAAACAAGAACAAGTTAGCAAAATAAAAATCAAATTAAAATAATAATGTTAATGAAAATCATGAAGGGAAATAAGTGTCAACATATGGTTATTTTCCTAAGCTAAGTATTATGCTTTGTTGAATTTACACTTGAATACAGATGAAAGTCTCTCACCAATTCATAGTAATTACAAGCCTTCTTCTACTTTGTATTATAGACTTTGTGGATGAGAAAGGCCAGGCTAGGTCTGACCTTCTACCTCTAAAAAGGATGACCTAGCTTCTGCAACCCTTTGAGAAAGGTAAACTGCTTACATCAACACAGTGTAGTCACACAAACTGCGGCCTCTGACCAACAACACAACCACAAGAGTAAGGGATAAAGTAACTGCAAGCTTCAGGTGGTCTGATGCACTCAGGCAAACCTCAAGGGATGTGAGGAGGGTCAGAGCTGTCCCTGTGCAACTCTTTATGTTACTTTTTTGTGATTTTCCCTAGAAAATGTGACAGCAGCAGGGGAGAACATGTTGAAAGGCTACAGTTTGGAACTATACTATAGTAGTTTTTATGTACAACCATCTAGAATATGTCTTGTGAGGGAAAGAAAAGGGCTATGCAAAGTTTAAAATGCCTGATTTATTACCAAGGAACATTTTCTTTTTTTCTTCTGGTAGCTTGTGAAACACAGTCCAAAAATTCCTGATAGTTTGATCTGACTTGTTGTACCGTCTGTACATTGCATTCTTCCAAAGAGACAAAAATAAAACAGGCCAGTTAATCCTCAATATTTCCATTTATATTTAAAGCAACATTTTTTCTGATAAATTTTATAATCCCACTCATAGATATTCAAATCCCCTTAACCTCTGGAATCTGCTTGTTCATTTGTTTTTCGAGGATTCATATGACAATCCCTGAGTTACGGCTTCATACTTATTCCCCTTTATTCTTGTAGCTGACGTAGATAAGATTAGAACATCGACACAAATCAAAAAGAGAAAGTTCCTTGAGCTTCTGTCCATCTGTTATGCACTCAATGAAAGAATGGGTCAGACGTAGTTTATGCATAGCACATAGAGCAGAAGGACACCGTGCTTGTATACAATACCTTTTCCAGCAGATGCCAGTCAAATGTTGTGTGTCCCTGGAGAAGAACCTGCAGCTCTTCAGGGAAAAACATCTTCCAATTTCTAGCTGGGCAGCCTCTTAAGAACCCTTGCATAAAGTCCTCAAATGGCTTCTGTACTGATTTATTGAATATATAATTCACATACAAATCAATATATTCTTTCCTGCAACAGATATCAAACAAGAATCGGTGGTGCTTTTCTAAAAGGAGAATTATGGAGAACTTTATACTTTATTCCATATGACCTGCTGTGTTGTACAGACTCATTCTTCACTGAGACTAGCAATTAGTTATTCACTGAATAAGCTGGGAGCATCTTCAAAAATAAAAGAGAATGCTGGCCAGAATGGATTCATTTTGGTAACATTCCTTGTACTTCATGTGAATGCTCCAATGAAATCCTATGAGACACCTAATTATTATAAAAGATGGAACCTAGCAGACCAAACTCCTATTGAATGCCCAAGAATTTCCCTGAAATCAAAATAAATATTTGCACAGCCGCTAATCAATAGTTTCACTCTTCTCTCTACTTCAGATGGGGAATTTGTGCAGTGACAATGTACTTGTACAATCAATGTAAATGCTGTACTTCAAGCTTCTTAAACTGCCCTTTCATGGATCCCTATGGGTCCTCATGTCATCTGCATAATTCAGGATACAAAATTTCTCTCCTCTGTGCCAAGATTAATATTGACACAAAACCTTATTGATAGATTGCTCCTTCTCCTTTATGTACAAGATACATTCTATATAGGTAACTAAGCAGGAAACATTTTGCTCTAACAATAACCCTTACAGAGGTGTACCTATAGCTGGGTTTCCCAGACAAATCTTCTGTATTTGCCTGAGAATACTGTTCAAGGTTATTTTTAACATTTGTTAGGAATTTTCCTGTTAATGCCAGGTATCTGTATATGCAGATACCAGGATATCTAAGGATCCTCATGTCATCCACTGCTTGCACAAACTGCCAGTGTTTGGCACATGTGCAGCAAGTACAGCAAGAACTGAAAGTGTGCAACCTATTGGACCAAGACCACTGGCACTATACAGAAGTCAATATTTTCTAACAGTATATGGGGATGGGTATAGACATGTTATTTCACACATTTGTAACAAAACAACCGGATTAAGAAATATAAAAATAAAACTGACCTGTTATCCTTAGTGACAGGAATGTTGGCACCATTTTCTTTAAGTTCAACAACATCCGTGGAATCTCCTCCTTCCATTATCTATGCAAATAAATTAAAACATTGGTTGCTGTATCTGTATGTGACAGATATATATGTGCTACATCTCTCATTCTTCCTGAAGGGCCTGACATGGCACTCTCACTAGTTTGAGCTTACAGACAAGTTGTGTCATTTGCACTGGAACACCATCTTGCCCGAGTACCTGTGTGGGATGTCTTACCGTGAAGTCCAAGTCCAAGCTATCACTTTCTTCATTCAAAATTCTCCGAAGACTCCTGTCCAAACACAAAAGGGATTAAAGAGAGAAGAAATGTGACCATTCTTTCAAATTCTGCTAAAATCATCCTTTGAAAAGAAGTATTTAAATACATGCACACAACACCTACACTCACACAGAACCATGATATATGGCCCTGAAATTCCATCATGCTGCTGACATAAGCTGAGCAAAAATGCCTCCAGTAAAAAAAGTTTCCAGGCAAGTCCATCCCCATGCCCTGTGTGGACAACTTTACACAAAGTTCAGTGACAACTGGGCTTGGGACCACAGCCCCACTTCCAGACATTATCTAGTGAGGAGTTAAGTGTGGAGCCGTGGGATGATCTGGGAGAGTTGTTTTGGGGTGCAGCACCTCTCCAAGTATTGCAGGCAACCTTGTGTTCCAATTCACTGAGGAACATCAGTGAATTTAGCACCTCAACACAGTCACTGGCGCATGGGATGGGTTTGTCTTCTTCTTGGTTGTTTATATCACTTGCCTGGAAGAGTGGCCTTCAGGGGTCTACAAGCATTATGTTGGTAGCAGCAGCACCTCTCCCTTTATGTCTGCCTGATATTGCCTCTCCCAGTGTATGGAAACTCTGCACAAGGGTTCTCAGAATTGGCACAACTGCAGCATTTCATAATACTGTACTTGTGCAAGGCAATATTGTAAAAATTGATAATTAGTAGATCAGAAATAACCCCCAACATTAATAATTGGGTCATTAGTTCTTTCAAGTTCAAACTACAGCCCAAAGTGTTTTGAACTATATATTCACAGTGTGGACTTAAGCTCTTGTGGAGCAGAGATCTGACATCTTCTAAGCCATGAGGCTTGGCTTTTTGTTTTGGCATTGCCAGCCTCTGAGAGCAACATCCATGCCCTGGACAAGGACCTCCTTGAAAATCTGTGGCTTCTAGCAGCTTCACAATGGCAAACGCTGATGTCATGGGTGCCCCAAATTCAGCCTCTGGGATCTCCCTGTGCATGGTCAAGGCAAGAGACCCAGCTGAAGCTTGGGCCATGCCTGGCTCATACCGGCCCATGGTTGGCAGCAGATCCTCAAAGTCCTCCAGGGTGGGGGCCAGGTCCAGTAGCTTTTTGTAGAGTGCCCTGGGGAAGGGGAAGGGCACCATGCACTGGTTAAACAGGGCCATTCCACACAGTGTCCCAATCAAGAGGAAGGTGTCCTCATCCTCACGGCTTGAGGCCTGGTTAGGAACAAACACACCAGAAAGCCATGACTGCTTTTTCCCATGGCTGAGGCCCCCATCCACCCCTGCAGGGCTGCCTTACCTGTTTGGGGAACCACACGAGGCCGGAGGGGAATTGACAGAAGGTGCTGGCACTGGGCTGGCAGAGGGTCCTGGCTGCAATGCTGAAGAGCTCCTGGGACACCCCACCTCTGTCCTCTCCCATCTCACCCACAAAAGTCACCTGCAAGGCCCGAGACACCGGTAGACAGAGACACTCATGCTGCTCACAAAATCAAATTCCTTACCTGGTGTGCAACAAGCCAATAATTAAACACCCGAGAGAGAGACACTGATTATTTATTTCACGGTTGTGCCAGCCTGGGTACTCGGTGGTATTCCACAAATCAAGTGCACCCCACCAGGCTTTTTGAGCCATTATTTATACACAGAAATTCAGGATTAGTAACTGTCCAGGTCTGTTACGCTTGGTTAGTAATTTCCAAACAAGTTACATAACCCCAGCTAATTTCCACACACCCTCAGGGGAAGGGTCTTCACCTGGGCCGGGGTCTCTTTGCCTTGTGGGCGTGATTTTTAGTATTATAATGAACAGAGTTCAGCTACAGGATATGCGGACTCTGAGTATTTTGACAAGTTAGCAATGTACATACAGACATAAATCAATATCTTAATTTATGGCAGCCTTAAAGCTTTTCGGTTCCCGGATGTCTGGCGAGGGAATGCTGGCTGATGCCTGTTCCACTGACTAGGTCTCCTTTCTTCCTGATTAAGCTTGAAAACGTACACAGATCCCACACCGAAAACCTTGATTTAAGCTAATCTTGTTCTATTCCACACTCAGGAACATCCGCAGAGCCCCGTGGCCGCCCGAGGCGGGGCGGGCACAGCGCGG